CAATATTAGATATATATATATATGTAGTATGATATAATTTTAGAAATTTATAATTTTCATTCTCTACCTGAGGTAGAAGTATTACTTTAATAAATAAAGCCAGTTTTGGTTATATAATCTTGGTCCTCTGAATTCTAATATTTATGAAAAAGTATCCATAATTTAGATAAAATCATCCTTTCTTTTTCATAATTTAAAAATCTATATTAATTATGAAGAAAATAAGTAATTAAGTAACTTCATTCTATTAGATAGATCTGGAATAGTTCTTATGTTGTATGTTCTTAATTTGCTTCCACACTTACATTTAATTTAACACATAGTTCTATCCATAATTTACATCTCTGTCAAAACCTTGAAGCAATTTATATGATTAAAATGATTGCAATTTATTTTGACTACATTACCATTATGAATCTACTTGTAACATAATTAAAAGATGCTGATAATTAATAATTTGGATTCACTTTAATATAAAATTCCATTAGATTTAAATTGAATTTCTTATAATTTAATTTAAATTTCTTCATTTTCAATAATAGATTATTAATAATCAAAAACTTATTAGTTTGTATTTGATTGAAAGATTTAAACAATTTGATCATATTCAGGTTTTTTTCTAACTGAATTTTTTCATAAGATTAAAATTTATAAAGAGTATATTTGATATAATAATTTATATTTAATTTCTTTTTTGACTTTTTATCTCAAAAGATTAGGATTCCATTAAGTTCCACATTTACATTTAATATAATGTCTGTCAAATTAAAGAAATTATTATTTAATTACTTTAATAAAGCACTCATGTAAATAATTTATCCCATTTGATTTATAAAATATATAATAAAATTATTGAAAAACAGAAAAATTTACAATTATATTAATATAGTTTATTAATTAAAATAAACTCAATATTAGTACTTCTTAATTTTTAAACTTAAAACTAGCATTCATAAACTATAAATATATATATATGAAAATTCTTATTAATAAATTCTTATATTATTAATCATTATACACCATTGGTTAATGTGTTGTTAAAGGTTTTCTTGATCCATTTATAAATTTATTAATTATATATTTTAAACATAAATTAAATCAATAATTACTTAAATGGTCAGCTACTTTATAATTATTTATGTGATTAAATTGTGATTTGTTAGTAAACATAATTAATATCATATAGAATGTTCAATTTGTAATTAACTATTTTGAAGAAATTGAGAAATGATTTAAAGTTGTTGCCTAATATAGAAAATAAGAATTTGGATTTTAATTATTGCATTGTTTTTTAGTTTTTCAAATCCTATTATTATGTCTAATAAATCGAATATCATTTTAAAAAAATTATTAATATATTTAATATATATACAATGAATCAAGAAAGAAAACATCACTTTTAAGATAAACATATTGAAATCCTATGGAGAATAACATAAGGTATGTATAATTCATTAAAATAGATAATCAAATCTAAAATTAATAAATTTAATTTGAATACGTTTAGGCAAAATACAATGAAGATTTAGGGTTTGGTATTGGGGTTGGAGGCAATGTAAAAATGAGTAATGGATAAAAATATTTGGCTTTTCCTGACGAACAAGGTAAAGTAAATATTTTGGTCGATAATTAATGGGTGCCATTAGAAAAAAATTTAGCAGAATTTTAATAATACATCCCGGATTAAATCTAATAATAAATCCCATAATATAATTAACTTAATAATGAACCATCATTATATGTTGAAATAAGAGATTAGAATAACTTCAAAAAATATAGAGGACATATAACAGTTAGTGATTATGTATCGCAAACTCAAAGTCTTGGAGAGGAATTAGAGGATTTATATTTAGAAATAGAGAAAAATATTTAAAGCATTTTTGATAAGAATAGCTCTGTATTTTTAAATATGATGCATAAAGATCCTTAATTGGAATTCAAATTAAAAATGGGAAAAGGAAAGAAATTAATCGATTTTTTTATACCAATTAAATTAACTTTGGTGGAGTAAAATCAGGAAGAAAGAGAAAAATTATAAAAAGAAATAAAATTATATAAATAAAATAAGAGATTGGAAAATATTGAATAGAATGTGAACTAATTATAATAAAATTTAACAGACCATAGTTAAAGAATTGGATTCATATCACAAGAACTTGGAAATTAGAAAACAGAACTATATAATAAAATATAAAATGTAGAATTAAATTTTTAGTATCAATACCAAAAATTTCTTCAATAAAAGTAAAATCAATTTAAAAAATTTTCAATAAATCAAATGAAAAAAGTTAAAGAATAAGATTATATCTATATAATTTAAAAACTTAAAGGGTAATGTGAATTTGAATTATTACTTGTTGATGATGAAATTGAATTTTAAGTTGGTGTTATAGAAGATGATGATTTGGATAATATTGAAAAGAAAAACAAATCTTATTTTGTTGTATTACCTGATGGAAAATTTACAAGAGGAACTAGAGAGTTTGGAAATTTTTTCACTCATCAATTATAATTAGAAGACAAACTAGGATTAAGAGTTGACACATTTTAACGTACATTTTAACTGGTTATTAATGATTATCCTTTTCCTCCAGTCAAAATTAATAAATCAATATAGGAATATTCATTTATTATAAAAAGTTCTGAGAAGTTAAATAGATTTGCTGAAGACACAAATTAATCATGAATATGATTTGAATATTAATGTTCGTGCAAATATTAAAATTTATTATCCGTATGTTCATATAATATATAATCTAAAATGGAAGCATCTTTCAATTTTGTTCACTTTGACTTAAGTCTAAATAGAAGTAAGATAGTTAAAATGAAGGTTGCAAATAACTTTTCAGATTTTGATGAATTGATTTTTTAAATAATTTTTATAATTATAAAGTGAATACAATCTCTTTTCATTACTAACTAAATGAATACAGAATAATAAGAGTATTACCCTATCAAAAAATTTCTCCTAAAACAATAGATTTCAGAAAGATTATTTAATTCTCATCTACATTCTCCTTAACATGACTAATAAAGAGGTTTTCTTTAGCATTAAAGGAAAATAATATTTCCATTAATCTAGGTAACAGAATTCTTAATGTATTCTTTTATATCAAATAATTTTACATAATTTAATATTATTTTTCAATTATAATAATTTTAAAATTTAATAAAATGACTTTATCTATACATCTTCATATTAGAGGAGCAGATGTAATGGTTGGAGATCTGATATATGAATGTTTAGAATCTATTCGAAAGGAAAATAGATTATGAAGATCAATCTTTAATAATTTCATCAATACGGAGGAACTGGATCAGGTTTACTATAAAGATTAACAGAGGATTATGGAAAGAAAATAGAAATAATGCATTTGTATTATATCCTTCCTCATAAATATCAAATAACTTTATTGATAGTTATAATGCAGTCTATTCAACTCGTATGATGACTGAATATTGTAATTCTGTTGTTGCATTTGATAATTAAGCCATCTAGAATGTTATTGATAATTAGACAGGATTGGATTATGTTGATTATAATTTATTAAATAATGTAATTGCTTAGGTAATTAGCATGTACACAGGTATAAGAGGACATAAAAATACTTGTAATAATATGATGTTTTCAAATATGTGTTCATATCCTTCACTTCATTTCCTAATCCCATCATATGGATCAAAGGCTAAGGATTAAATATAAATGAACAATAAATAATCTAGTTTGTAGAAAATTGATTTTTGAAATAAATCATTATTTTAATTTTAATGTAAATGATTAAATAATTAAAATATGAATCAAATAATATTTTTGGAGCATTAACTAGTTATGGAAATTATTCAGTAACTTGGGATTAAGTTGGACAGAAATATCATAAATATGAATCATATTTAATTGAATATAATCAACAATAATTTTACAAATTTTATATCATAATAATTGGATTATGATATATATATATACAAATGATTATTATTATGTAATTATATATGGCTCATTTATTTTTAAAATCATTTCAATTTGTTTTTGAAATCATACCTAATTTGCTCCAACTAGAAATGATTTTCTTAAATAGAAGATATTACTAAATTGGTCCTAAAATCTATAAAAACTAGTTGTATATCCATAAGGTTATTAATTAACTAATTAAATTACTCTTATATTTAATCACAATATATTAGAATAGAATCTCACAAAAATAAGATCTATTTCACTCAAATCCGTGATGATAAAGCGATAAAATTTATTCAATATTTTTTTCTCTAATTAGAATTTAATATAGTGAATTTTACAATTAATAAAAATATATACTCGACTCGTAAACTTTATGATAAATGAATATCATAAAGTCTTTAATTATTGATTAATTTTATAATACTTAAATTATTAAATTAGTTTCAGATCAATTATTGTGAGAGTAGAAATATTTAATAATTTAAATTTAACAATTAAATTAAAATTAAAATAAACTAGATGCATAATTAATTTTCAAGCCCTGTTATTTTTTTTTTTTAAAAGAAAGTATAATATTATTGAAATTTCATGAATTTTTCTTTTATAATTTGAATTTGATCATTTCAATTGTGTGAAGATTTATACCTTCTAGATTCAAAGGAAAAATTAAACAAATTTATTTTAAATTACTTCCGAAAGAGAAAACAATGGTGAGGTATAAAATTGGTGAAATAAAGTATTCTGAGACAATATCAGTTTATTTTTCTATTTTCTTTTTGAAATAAATGAATCAATCCTTTATATTCTTTACTTTTATTAGGATAATCTGATTATCATAAAACATCATTTATATATATGTATGATTATTTATTTAATTTTGATTAAGAATCTACAACCAACCTTTTTTATAACAGTATAACAAATCAAATGCTGCATTTTCTATAGTATTCCTTTCTAAGATCAATTAATAGTCTTCATAAATCTAATTTTATCATCATCTTGATGGTTTCATTCAATTTTTCTATTTGTGATTTTATTTTTGAGTAATTAAGAAACAAATTGAAAGTAAATTTTTTTTTCTAAATCCCTAATCATTTTAACATCTAATCAGTATGTTTAGATTAATTCAATAAACTTTTCAGCTTCCTTGTATTCGGTATTACTGAGTAAAGGAATATCAAGAAGTATGATATCAACTTTAATTTGAAGGTATGGTCACAATTTTCTAACCATCATAAATTAACATGGTTGTATGTTTATTTATAAGTAATTCATAATGAAGACAAAATATCTTTAAAATTTTATCCTTTTATTCACTACTTAAATTTTTATGATCAATCTAGATTTTCAAATTAATATTCAAGTCTCTTTTAAATTTACAACTAATTAGGATATCATAATTGAATTTTTCAAATAATAAAGATTAGTAATTGATTCAAAATTGTACATGTCTAAAGCATTTTTTATTTTATACTTTTATCTAAGACATCTCTTTGGTTTTGGATTAATATTCTTTGATTTTTTTATTGACTCCAAAAATACTAATAATTCTTGAGATATTTATCTTTCTTCAATATTCATCAGTGGAAGTTTTAATCTATAAAAATCCAGAATTGGAAGCTATTGATTAAATAAATAAATTATCTAAAAAAAATGTGATACTTATTCCAATAGATTAATTCTTTTTAAATAATCTTTGGATAGTAGAATCTTTTTCAACTCTATTTTAATTATGATGAAAACATTTAACTTTTGAGAATAAACATAATCAGGTTCAATTATATCTGCTAAAATTCTAAACACTCCTGTTTTGGTATGTGGATCATGTACTATAATACTGATAACACCCAGTTCATCAATCAAATCATAAAGAACATTCTAATTCAAATAATTATTATTATTATTTTATGCTTATGATTAATTACTCATTTATTTTTAAGATTAATTTTTATAATACCTTATTATGATATTTAAGAATTAGTTTGAAGTATATTACTTGGTTTTTGTATTTGTTATAATTATTTGATTGATTAAGATCATCTATTGGGTATTGCCTTCAAACTTAATTTTTGCAAATAAATTAATTGGGTTCGAAAATGGCTTCATATTTAATTTAATTTTTCTTGATAACTATAGGATTCTTATGAGATATGATATTTCAAATAAATAATACAGATAATTCAAATTAAATAGTAAAATAGTTTCTTGAATTTGAAGATTTCTTAAAGTTATCTTGGCTAATGTTAAATTTTTCTAATAAAAATTTATTATTTTAATACCAACTTTTGAAGTTTCATAATAGTAGGTCGATTGGAGATTTAAATTAATAAAATTTTCCAGGATCTATGTTAAAGAGAATATTAAACTTTGGAAGATGAACTAATAGGGTTTAAGTTTATGGATATTTAATCATGTCAAGCAAAAAAGATGAATAAATTTGAATAAAAGCAGTAACACAATTTTAGAAACTTGATATACGAAAAGAACTCCTAAGATTCCGAAAACTGTCTCATAGAAAAACTAACAGTTAGACATAAGTCAAAGATGGAAATTAATTTCTCTAATAGAATTTCTATTTAAAATTTGTGATAGGAGATGGTTATGTCAAACATTTGCAGGCGATAATGGATAAAGTAAAAAACTAAGAAAAGTTAGGGATAGAGATACATAATTATTATGAAGTCTAATTAATTTTTACACATAATATTCAGAAGCTGAAATGAAAAGAATGGAGCAATTAGGAAAAAATATATCTAATGAAAAAATCCTTGTATCAAATACAGATTATGAGAATAATCTTGATACATTAATATAGACTAAAGATTATGCTATACTAAGATCCTCCTTTGATTTCTTTTGCTGGACAGAATGTAAGAAACTTATTAATTTCATTAAATTTAAGGATTATGATTTTCATAAAATTTTATGCTATTTGTGATATTCAGCCTTTTTACAAGAATACCAAATTGTGTGGCTTTTCAGAAGCAACAATCTATTTGAATAGGAGAAGACATTCACTAGAGATATAAATGTTAATAATATAGCTTTATTTAATTAATCTATCATAATATATAATTATAATAATCTTATTATTCTGTTTATCTTGCCAAAGTATAAAAATTAGATATTCTTAAAAATGCTTGAAATTATTCGGTATTAATCCATTTATTTAACAAAATTAATTAATACTTTTCTATGTTTATTTTTTTTAAGGAATCATAATAAATATTTTTTAATTTTTAATTTTTAATTTTTGGTTATAT